TGACAGCTCAGAGCCTGGAGCCTGTTTCAGATTCTGTGTCTCCCTCTCTCTGCCCCTTCCCCGCTCATGCTCTATCTCTCTCTGTCTCTCAAAAATGAATAAACGTTAAAAAAAATTAATAAAAATATTATTTTTAATTAAAAAAATAAATAAGTATGCAGTGGAAAATAGGTCTCATGTGCAAACTCAAATTGATCCATAGTAACCTCTGGAATGCATGCTTTTTTTTTTTTTAATGTTTACTTATTTTTGAGAGTGAGGGAGACACAGCATGAGCAGAGGAGGGGCAGAGAGAGAGGGAGACACAGAATCCGAAGCAGGCTCCAAGCTCTGAGCTGTCAGCACAGAGCCTGATGTGGGGCTCAAACCCACAAACTGTGAGATCATGACCTCAGCTGAAATTGGGCGCTTAACCAACTGAGCCACCCAGGTGCCCCTGGAATACATGCTTAAGAATGATTCTGAGGCCACGTCTAGATTCACTCAAAATGAGTGTGGTGACCCATTAGCAATGTTTGCTATTGGGCAAGAACAGTAAGTAGTGGCATTTGTTACAATACATTTGAAACCCCAGATTGAGGTGTTTGTATATACGTGCTCTGAATATGAGACAAAACGGAGTGACTGTTCAGAAAGGCACTTTCATTCACCTAAAATCAAAATTTATCTTCAGTCGTTTTAAAAAATAGCATATAGAAGAAACACAGTACAGAATTATAGTTGTAATTCATTATTTTAATAAAAGGACGTGTGTTTGATAGGAAAAGTCTTTGTGAATTCAATATCAAGTTTAATGCCATATCCTCAGATTCACCACCCTTCCTAGAAACTTTTACTTTGTAAACAACACCATGGAGTGGGCTCAGTGAAAATTTTAATCAGTGTTGATGTATGCATATGAAAAGGACTTTAGTTGTGAAAATAATACATTTACATTGTTCAAAAATTCATATACAGGATATAATAAAAAGGAGGTCTCCCTCCAGTCCCAGCTCCCATTCCTGTACTCCTGTGCTCATAGAAACCACTATAAGGTTTCTTATATATTTTTTCAAACCAAGTCTATTTACATACAAATATACATATACATATATACACACATACATATATACACACACAGAGACAGGCAAATGCACACCCTTTTCTACAAAAGTGGGAACATACTATACACACAGTTCAGCAATCTGCTTTTTTCACTTAACGATGTATCTTGGACATCATTCCCCACCAGCACCTGTGCATCCTCAGCTGCTTTCATTTTTTCTCTTAATTTTCTGTTAATATTTTTTACATAAGTAACCTTTAGGAAGTTTGCAGCTGATGCAGAAGCTAACAAAGACATTAAGAAAGAGAGAGGTGATAATATCAAAGATCAGGCTCATAGCAGTGGCCACATACCTTTATACATGGAAATTAACAGATATGCAAATTCAATTCTCATATGCGGTGCTTAAGTACACAAAACTCAAGCAACTCAGGAATTTAGCATATGTAATTTGCTTCTCTACTGCTCTGATTTTTCAGCTTATTAACATTTTTAAAAGCTTTATATTTTGGTCTGAACACATAAATAATTAATAATTGAGTACTTTTAAAACAGTATTTTCTATAAAAGGTTGGTAGCAAGTTTAAACTCTCCATCCATTGCTTCCCTGTAAGATTCATTTTCAAATTCCCTCGTATGTAACGAGGTGTGACTTCTTATTAAAGGCTTTCTAACATCCTTAAAATTCAGACTTCTTCTAAGGTTGAATAAAACCTCTAGTTAAAAGGTTTTCCCACATTAATTTCACTGAGATTTTTCTTCTGAATGAGTTTTCACATGTTTGGTAAGGGATGCATTTTGTTTGAAAGCTTTCCCACATTCATTACATTCATAGGGTTTCTCTCCAGTGTGGGATCTCTGATGTATAACAAGCTGTGACTTTACATTGAAAGCTTTTCCACATTCATTACATTCAAAAGGTTTCTCCCCAGTATGAGTCCTCTGATGTACAATGAGATGTGACTTTTGGCTAAAAGCTTTCCCACATTCATTACATTCATAGGGTTTTTCCCCAGTATGAACTCTCTGATGTTGAGTAAGACCTTCAATTTGTTTGAAGGCCTTTCCACATTGGTTACATTCAAAAGGACTTTCACCTGTATGAGTTCTCGTGTGGTAAGTAAGAGATGAGCTATGCCCAAATGCTTTTCCACATTCATTACATTTGTAGGGTTTCTCCTTAGTATGAGTTCTTTGATGTATAATGAGGTGTGACTTCTTGCTGAAAGCTTTCCCACATTCATTACATTCAAAGGGCTTCTCACCTGTATGAATTCTCATATGTTTAGTAAGGGACGAGCTATACTTAAAAGCCTTTCCACATTCATGACATTCATATGGTATTTCACCTGTATGAGTCCTCACATGTTCTGTAAGAGATGAGTTATACCTAAAGGATTTTCCACATTCCTTACATTCATAGGGCTTCTCACCTGTATGAGATCTTACATGTTGAATAAGGTTTGAGCTGTGTCTAAAGGTTTTCCCACACTCAGTACATTTATAGGGCTTTTCCCCAGTATGAACTCTCAGATGGTCAGTGAGGGCATGTTTATGACTGTGGGCTTTGCCACACTGAGTACACTCATATGGCTTTTCTCCAGTGTGAGTTCTCTGATGCACAACGAGGTGTGACTTTTGGCTAAAGGCTATCCCACATTCATCGCATTCATATGGTTTCTCCCCAGTATGAATTCTCTGATGGTCAGTGAGTCCTTGCTTGTGACTGAGAACCTTCCCACACTGATTACATTCATAGGGTTTGGCTTTAGCTTGAGTTTTGTCACACTTAGTAGATGAGCTACGGCTGGATGATTTCTCGTGTTTCTTTCCAGTTTGAATTTTGTCGCATTTAGTATGGGATGAGCTATGATGAGATAATTTCTCATGTTTCTTGCCAGTTTGAGTTTTGTCATGCTTATTAGATAAGCTATGGTTGGATAATTTCTGTTTCTTTCCAGTTTGATTTTTGTTTTTCTTTGTATCAGGTAAGCTATGGCTGAAAGATTTCTTGTGCTCTTTAGTTACATTAGGTTTCTTTTTTGCATAGTTTCTTATATGACCAAGTAAGTCTAAATTCTGTTTCAAACTCTTTCCATGTGAATCAAATTTAAGCTTTCTTTTTGAAGGAACATGTTTTGTACTCACATTTATTTCCCCCAATGAGCTACATTCATGGCCTTTCTTCTTAGTCAGACTTTTTTTCTTGAATGCAACTTCCCTAAGGAGTTTGTTTTGAGATTCCTGGTGATTCACTAGCTGGTCGTTATCTTGCTGGACTTCTTCTAAAATGGAATTCAATGAGACATTCTTATGAATCTTTTCACTCTCATATTTTGAACTACAACTTATAAAACAAATGCCCTGTTGTGGGGTTGAATCTTTATTCAAGCTTCACATCCCAAGGTGAATGAAATATCAAATGTAAATGTCCCTAAGCTTTTGGACTTGAGGGGAAAGTGCTGTAGGGAGCACTTCCAAGTGCTTATCCAAGAAAAGATAATTGACAATAGCAATTAGAAAAAATTTTGCCCGTTTACAAATATAACCTTGTAACCTGGGATAGATGATAAGATAAACTGAAGGAGCAGTGACTAGGTAATAGATGAAGTTAAAAGAGCTTGTGATTGTAGTTGGTATTTTTTGAGGTTTCTCCACAGCCCAAGCTTCCCGGCTTTGATAACTGCCAATTCATTCACAGTATTTGGCTCCCACAGCCTGTACTACATTAATTCAGCTCTCTATGGTCACAATTGGAGACACATCTGGCTCAAGCCAAAGTGTCCAATATGAGTCTTCCTCCTAAATATTTAGACTCTAGTTTGTCTCCATTGGGTTTTTACAATGATATAAAACGAGTAATAGTAAAGTCATATCTTCCCTGTGTAAACAGAAAGTTCATCAGTATGAAGAACGAAGCATACATCCACAAAGAAGCAGAGATGTTGGATCACATGTTCTCAAAGGGACCATTTATCTAATCCCAATTCTGGATGGCTTTCCAGTTCCTAGTTCTAATCCCTGGTAGGGTCAGGCTGACATATCCACCTTTAGGTTACAAGAGATAAATCTAAGTCCTTATAGTAAATTCCTCGATTTACTTAGGCTAGCCTGAGTAAATTTTTGTTACTGCCCTCCAAGGAGCCAAAATAGAGAAAATAAGGGAAGTCTACCAAGAAATACTGAACAGCTTATAGGTGACTAAGGGAATAAGCAGGAAAGGGTGTTCCAGTGCTACCACCTACGATCAATATAATAATGACATTCCTGTACTAAAACAAACAACCAACCAAAAAACCCCCGAAAAACTAAAAAAACAACCAAACAAAAAACCCTACAGTTTCTGAGTCCCCTGATGCTTTTACCATGATAAAATTCATAGAAATGAGACTTCTCATAGAAATGAGATTTACACCATTTAGAGTTACAATGTACACATGTATCTGTTTTCCAACAGTTTGCTATGGAGCATACCTTTGTTTCTGTCAGGTCACTCTACTAATTACTAATCATAAATTTTAAGCTTATTCCCAGCTTTAAGTGATTGCTCACATCCTTCCTTCCACCCGTTATACAATTACACATTTTAAGATACCTTCCCAGTGTGTGTTTTCCTTCTCTGAGTCCACCACCCACACTGACACATGGAGGCAATTATGTTTGTACCATTATGATCCAAACTCTGGTTGAAAACAATTGATTGAACAGTGGTAAACATAGGGCCCAAACTAGACCAATACTATTCTTTCTCCTAAGAATTTAGAATTGAAATTCAAAGACCTCTTTTAGCTAGGTATGGATATGACATGTGTAAAAATCCAAAAACTTAAGAGTTGGGACTACCATTTTGAGGCAGCTTTCTTCAGTTATGTGTGTGGAAAAGCAGAAAAAGCTTTAGGATGGGAATTAAACAGACTCAAAGAGAGAAACAGATGTAAGAGTCTCAAAGAATATAAGAAACTGAACAGCTGCCTTGGTCATAAAGGAACAACACATGGATAAAGTGAAAACCGGGATCAAACAGAAAAGAGTTTTAGTATTTGGATATAAGCCAGGAAACACCATTACTTTCATGGAGGACTTTGAAGAGATTAGTTCCCATGGGGTAAAAAAATCAATTTTTGTAGGTATAGATATAGTGGTATAGATATAACAGGGAGAGGGAGAGTTGCCAGCTGCTTTTTCCTTTAGGAAACTTTAAGTGGTACAAGCATTTTGGGGGAAAGGGTAGAACAAGAGCAAGACAAAGGCAGCCTCTTCCAATGTGCAAGGATTCTGGAGAGGATAGAGGCAAATCTTCTGGGAAGAAAGGGATCAAAACTCAAACCTTTCCCCTTGAGGTGTAACATTATAAGAACCTCTTATAATGATGAAGATTGGCCAGCAGGAAAAAATATAAAGCACTATGAGAGAAATTCACCATGAGGGGAAAAGATAGAATCTGAACTAGTGAAATGGTATAATAATAGGGTAATAATGAAAAGAGTTGAGTCTGACAGAGCATATGATTACAATTGTGAGCTTATCCTGGGGCGCCTGGGTGGTTCAGTCGGTTAAGCGTCCAACTTCGGCTCAGGTCATAAACTCGCGGTCTATTGAGTTTAAGCCCCGCGTCAGGCTCTGTGGTGACAGCTCAGAGCCTGGAGCCTGCTTCCAATTCTGTCTGTCTGTCTGTCTCTCTCTCTCTCTCAAAAATAAATAAACATTAAAAAAAAAAAAAAAAAGACTGTAAGCTTATCCTGAATGTGAGAGAGTAACTAACACTTGAATTTTAAGCTAAAATGACTGAAGTATATAGCTCAATAGACTCAGCAAATCATTGGAAGGAATAGAACAGTCTTTCCTTGAAGCAATTCCAAGTACTATATAGGAAACTGAACTGAGAAGAAAGTCACTATAGCAATGACAAAGATGTATTAAATGATTCAGTATTATTTTTTAGTTGCAACACCAAGTAACAGTGAGAAAAGTAAACACAGCCAAAATTGGAGCCACTAATGGATGGATCGAAAACTCCATGAGGTCCCTTCATTCGCCATTTGAAGGACTAGTCCTTCTGGTTTCAAGAATTTGTGGAGAGCTGGAAAATTCAGAGGACACTTCAAAATATACTGTAAACATTCTGCTAAGTTGGGGACTATAGTGATGTAAATAATAAGTGAATATTTTAATATTTGGTGGCAACACCTAAGATGAATTACTTTAAAAATGGATTCAACAAATCAGCCTAAGAATTAGAACAATTTAGGTATGAGATAATGTAAAGCTAATTTGGGTGATGTCCGTGAGAAGTGAAGAAAGCAAACAAACAAATCAGGAACTGAAGAGAGGATAGAAAAAGAGAAGGCAGAGAGCAAAGATGCACCGGAACTCCATGGTAGACAGGCCTTAAATCAAAGTAGACCCGGGGCACCTGGGTGGCTCAGTAGGTTAAGGGTCCGACTTCCACTCAGGTCATGTTCTTGCAGTTCGTGAGTTCGAACCCCACGTCAGGCTCTGTGCTGACAGCTCAGAGCCTGGAGCCTGCTTCAGATTCTGTGGCTCCCTCTCTGCCTGCCCCTTCCCCCCTCCCCTCTCTCAAAAATAAAATAAACGTTAAAAAAAGTTTCAAAGTAGACCCTGATAAAAATATGGAAGGTGAAAGGAAGCTCTAATTTAGAAAGAAATATAAAGCTTTCCATTTCTGACACTCTGAGAATGAGCTTTCCTGTAAAGTAGGTAAAAATATGAGTGCAACACAAAGAAACTGGAGATTTATCTGGACAAGATAAATTTTTCTTGAAAGTCACCCATGTAGAATAAGTAGCTTGTATTTGCACAAATGATTCTTTTGAGGAAAATACAATAGAAAAAAAAAAAAAAAGAACAGAGAGCAGGAGACAAAACCTTAGGGATACTTCAGCAAGTGGAAAGAAGAGAATCTGGTGAAATAAATGTAAAGAAGCACTTAGAAGATCAGATTTAAGTGGTATATAATTTAAGCTAAGTAGGCAAGAATTTCATGCTGATCGAAACTATTAAAATATGCGCTGGAAGGTAAGCAGGGGTTACTTTAAAGCCAGAAATTTACATAGAGACACAAAATCTGTAGGATTTGACTGTAGAGGTTAAGGAGCAAATGGAAATGTTGATTCATTATAGACCACAGGTCTGGAGCATTTTCACAGTGAAAGAAGGGAAGTGGAAAGTAATTAAAGGCAGGGAGCATCATGCCAAGAGATTTGGAAAGAGGATGGACCCAAGAAGGTTTGAACACACAAGGAGAGACATATATCATGGAGTCCCAGAATTTGACTGGATGAAGGAAAATATACTGAAGATATTAGTAAAAAAGGAGATAATAAAAAACAGCACTGCTTTAAACAAGGTAAGCAGTGATGGGACTTTGAGAACAGCTAAGAGGAGTCACTGCTCCTCCTGGAAGCTGAGCAATGGAGAGCATAAATGAGGAAAGATGACTGACTATATATGGAAAGGTCAGTTAGGCATCTGAGGTATGGTATCAAAGGTTCAGAACTCTAGTTGTCACCTTTTTCCTACCACAATATGAATGGTGTGGCATACTGTATTACTGTTCCCTGTGGAAAGATTGTACCTCCCAGGCCCCTGCATGCCACTTGAATCCTCCCTGGAGAAGGCTGTCCATTCCTACCCTGCTGAGCTTAGGAGTGGCCAGGTGATCTGCTCTAACCAATTAGCCAATAAAATGTGAGCAGAAAGAGACATCTACCACTTCCATTCAGTAGTTTTAAGTCAACAAGTGGTTCTACTCATTCTTCTTTCCTTGTGACATGAGAGCAGGATTTGCCAAATAGGGGCTGCTCTTTCGATGTAGGTCCAAAGGATAATGTGGAATAGGGCTACAGCATGAGCAAGAAACAAATCTTTCTTGTTGGAAGCCACTGAGATTTGGGGGTCATTCCTTAATGGAGCATAACTTAGCCTAAGCTAACTGATGCAAGTGGTATAAGCAAACCCCCATACGTGAACACAGGCTTACAACTACAGTGAACCTCATATGAGAACCTCACACGTAGACAGGTTCACAGACAGAAGAGATATTAGAATCTCCAAGGTTAGAGAATCTTTGTAGTTTGAACTCCTCCTCCCCCAGGAGAGGATATTTTTCAACTGCTACTCCTGGTTAAGAAAGAAAGGTCTCAAATATTTAAGATTTTATTTTTATTTTTATTTTTTTTAATTTTTTTTTTCAACGTTTATTTATTTTTGGGACAGAGAGAGACAGAGCATGAATGGGGGAGGGGCAGAGGGAGAGGGTGACACAGAATCGGAAACAGGCTCCAGGCTCTGAGCCATCAGCCCAGAGCCTGACGCGGGGCTCGAACTCACAGACCGCGAGATCGTGACCTGGCTGAAGTCGGACGCTTAACCGACTGCGCCACCCAGGCGCCCCAAATATTTAAGATTTTAAAAATAAATTATTCATTGGGTTGGCTGGGTGGCTCAGTCGG